ATCTGTCGAAGATGAGAGCTGCTTTACTACACGAACTAGTTTTGATGCGCCACCCCAAGCGTTCAAATTCACCATGCACAAGGTATTGAGTTTCCTGACATGCAAAGAGCCCACCACATGCCCTCATATGATGGAGAATCTCAGCACATTAAAAATGAGCCTCACCTTCTTTGTTCAGGTTCCAGCTCCCCAAACGTATGCCTCGGATGAGGCATCGTAAACGGCACTGCCTACGATTCACCTCCTGAAGTATCTCATTCATTGGGACCGCCGGCGCAGGATAGATAGATACAATACGAGCCCATGCATCAGCATGCAGAACCCAAGCCCCAGTAGTGTTCGTATATGTCGCAAAACAAACGGGTCGGAGATTCGGAACAGCTTGAGTCCAAATCAGACTCCTCGGTGGCCCCATCTCCCCACGGATCTCGATTTGAACATGAGCCGATGTCATGCTACGCCAAGTCCCGCAGAAACGAGCAACCGCTTTCACATGATCACGCTGCCAAGGGGGACACCCCACCAGCGTACGAATCTGTTTGGGATCAATAGGCGTGTCCATATTTTGAATGAGAACATCAGCATCTGGACATGTATAGCCTGGAGGCGGAGCAAGACGATCGGCTGGGCCCTTACAGACCATATCCGTCCATTTCTTAATTATCCAGAGGGCGTCCCGTGATGTCCCTTCTTTGAAACCGATCTTCACGCTATCTACCTCCGTTTAATCGTTCAGTTTTGTCTTTGTCATATGCATTCCTCTCCTCCCCCTGAAGTGTTCCTATCATATTCGATATCAGTTGTAATGCATCCGCCCAGGGTATCATGCGATTTCCCCGAATTACTCGGTTTGACCAATCCGTAACCCACCCTTTGAGTTCAAGATAAGTTGGCGTAAACTGGCTCGGTCGCTCTTGTTGCACACCACCACCACCAGAGGACCCGCCAGGGCCCACACTTGTCGAAACCGATGCGGCAGGAGATCCAGCCAATATTTGGTTAACCTGTTTCTCCAGAATATATGTCCGTGCATATGATTTGTCCATGCGCTCCGTATGCAACTTAAGTGCGTCACCAACTCGTTTAATGTCCGTCTTCGTCGATTGAACAACATGGATGAGATCATCATGTGCGTCCTCAGTTTCCAAAACATGCTTCATCATCATTTGTTTGAAAGGATCCTTCTCCTGTGCTAACATCAAATTCCTCTCCTGCTCAATATCTGGGCCACGTGCACGTTTAGATCGAATCTCATTCTCCCCCGTCATTTGGGCATCCGCCGCTGCAGCAAGATGAGTCATATTCTCAAGAATGCTACCGTCCAAACCGTATTATCTTACCACTTCTTGTCGTCCTCACGTTGACGCTTGTTTGATGCTGCCTCAAGTGCCTGCAAGTCTTTCTGATCCCAAGGTTGATATTCCTCAAGATAATCTAAGTTGACCCTATCGTCCTGATAATCCTCAGTGGGTATGCCCAGATGCTTTTGACGACGAAACCCCTCCTCAGTATTTTCACCCCAATGTTCAAGACCGATCTCTCTCCTCAAAGCCAGCTGGGCCTCAGGGCTGTCGTACGACGTTGTGTCAACAACAATCCAGCACACAAGAAACTGCCACAATATCAATAAGAAGGATAACTCGTGCAATACACAGAGAGGTAATGTATGCAGACAGACAATGGACAACAGTGCAGCACAAGAAACTATCTCAATACCACGAAGAAGAATTCAGCGTACAATACACGAGATGTAATGTAAGCAGACAAAAACCTCGGGGGATCCCAGAATCGCACAGGCCTCGCGGCCCTTCGTCCAGTCTCACTCCCCGAGGCGAAGGCCCGCTAGAACGTCTGGAGGTTACCCAGGCAGAGACGTTCTTGAGCCGAGACGTTCTTGAGCCGGGAACCTCGTAGAGCTCCTCGAAGCAGGGAGCTTCTGGAAGTATTTCTAGAAAAACGTCAAATTGACTGGGTGTCAACATGAAGTCGGCTCCTGGAAGTGAACTAATTCTAAAACTGGCTCTAGGGAGCTGAGCTGATCTGGGAACAAAATTTATACCCCAATGCTCGGCGTAAACATCTGTTTTCTCAGAATGACTTGTCCAATATCTCTCAAACATTAGCAAGACCGACCAAAAGTGACCACTTTGTCTCTTCTGGTCGGATCGACCAACTAGCTCCACCCCGCGCCGGAATTCCTCTAGCTCATCGATGACGAAGAGCTCTACGAGGTATATTGCCCCTGATGATTATCTTCCCACTGCTGTGCTGAAGGGTTCTGCAGCTCATCTGCAGCACAAGTAGAACCAATAAAAACAGTACCACTTCCAAGAGAGTAGCAGAGTACGAATCGGTATTCAGCCCTAGCGCTCAAAGCAGACTGAGCGCGGGTGTCTAGATACTTTCAAATAGCGCGCATGATGATTCTCTGCCCATTGCAATGCCTAAGAGCTCTCAAGCTCACTTGCACCTCGAGTTCAGTCCAGAAAACAAATTCCATCGCCAGAAAAACTGGGATCTGGCGGTAAACCGTCAACCCGGTAAGCGCCGGGAGCCTCGTAGAGCTCTTTTCTCGCGCGGCGCTGCTCGAAACAGACGGAACAAGCTTTCTCAAGCTTGAAGAAAAAAACTCGAAAAATACGTTTTTCGGTGTTCATCCAACGTCGGTTCCCTCAAGTGTTTTGATAGTAATACTGCAGCTACGGACCTGAGAATTGGACTGGCAGACGCGGATTACCCCAGTACGCGTGCGAAGAATCTGGTTTCTTAAAATGAATTGTTGAATATCTTTCAAATCTGAGCAAAACCGACCCCAAGTCACCACATTGTCTCGTAAGGTCGGGTCTGCCAACTAGCTCCACCCTGCGCCCGTATTCCTCTTAGCTCATCTTGGCGAAGAGCTCTACGAGGTATTCCTCCTATATGTCCAAAGAATTAGCAGAGAACGAATAGTTTTTCAGCCCGAGCGCTGATAGCAGATGATCTCAGGCGCCTAGATACATTTCACGATTGCCCCTAATGCTTCGTAGCTCATCTGCAGCACGAGTAAAACCAAGAAAAAGAATACCATTTCCAAGAAAGTAGCACAGTACGAATCAGTGTTCAGCCCTAGCGCTAATAGCAGACTGAGTGTGGGTGTCTAGATACTTTGAAATAGCGCGCATAATCATTATTTTCCCATTGCAATGCCTAAGAGCTCCCAAGATCATCTGCACCTCGAATTCAAACCAGGAAACAATATCCATGACCAGGGAAGAGAGAGAGAGAGAGAGAGAGAGAAAAAAAAAAAATGCGGCGTCTGCACTCAGAACAGACCCAAGCCGAGCGTCTAGGTACTTCAGACTATCGCGCCTCATGCTTTTCTTCTGATTTATGTGCGGAAGAGCTCTCAAGATCATCTGCAGCTCGAGCTAAGTGAAACAATCACCATCACTTCGAAGAAAAATCGGTCGCATACGAATAGTTTTGCGGACCTCGCTCGAGTAGCAGACTGTGTTCAAAGCTCTAGAGGCTTCAGCCGAACGCACCTGATAATTCTGGATCGATTTCTGTGCGTACCAGCTCTGTAGCTCTGCTACAGCTCGAGTTAAGTACAGCACACCGACAGCGCCTGTCAAGAGAACTCGAAGAATACGAATAGGTTCGCGGACCTAGCTCGTGTAGCAGACCGAGTTCAGACCTCTGGATGCAACAGACGAACGCGTCTGGTGATACTGGATTGGTTTATGTGCGCACCAGCTCTGAAGCTCTCCTAAATCTTGAGTTAAGCACAAAAAACCGACAGCACTTGTCAAAATGACTCGAAGAATCGAATAGTTTTGCGGACCTAGCTCGGGTAGCAAACCGAGTTCAGACCTCTGGATGCAACAGATGAACGCGCCTGACGATTCTGAATCGGTTTCTGTAAGTACCAGCTCTGTAGCTCTCCTAAATCTCGAGTTAAGCACGGAAAACCGTCAACGCGTGTCAAGATGACTCGGAACACAGTCGGTTCCTGCAAGTGTTTTGATAGTAATACTGCAGCTACGGACCTGAGAATTTCACTGGCAGACGCGGCATACCCCACTACACGTGGGAAAAATACCAGCTCTTAACACGAACTTTCAAATTTTGCGCAAAGATAGAAAAACCGACCCCAAGTCATCACATTGTCTCTTAAGGTCGGGTCTGCCAACTACCTCCACCCTGCGCCCGAATTCCTCTTAGCTCATCTTTCCGAAGAGCTCTACGAGGTACGTAGGGTCTGTCAACCAGCTCCACCCTGCGCCCGAATTTCTCTTAGCTCATCTCGCCGAAGAGCTCCACGAGGCACTGTGTTCAGAGCTCTGGATGCTACAGCCGAACGCCTCTGATGATTCTGGATCGGCTTCTGTACGCACGAGATCTGTAGCCCTGTAACAGCTCGAGCTAAGTACAGAACACCGACAGCGTCTGTAAAGAAAACTTCAAGAATACGAATAGTTTCGCGGACCTAGCTCGAGTACCAGACCGAATTCAGACCTCTCAATGCAAGAGAAGAACGCGCCGGGTGATAATGGATCGGTTTATGTGCGCACCAGCTCTGTAGCTCTTCTAAATCTTCAGTTAAGTATAGAAAACCGAGAGGACTTGTCAAAATGACTCGAAGGATACAAATAGTTTTGCGGACCTCGCTCGAGTATGAGACCGAGTTCAGACCTCTGGATGCAACAAACGAACGCGCCTGATGATTCCGAATAAGTTTCTAAGCATGAGCTCTGTAGCTTTCCCGAATCTCGAGTTAAGTACCGAAAACCGTCAACGCGTGTCAAGATGACTCGAAATAGAGCTGGTTCCTGCAAGTGTTTTGATAGTAATAATGCAGCTACGGACCTGAGAATTTCACTGGCAGACGCGGCATAACCCACTACACTTGAGAAAAATACCAGTTCTTAAAACAAACTTTCAAATTTTGCACAAAGATACGAAAACTAGCGCCAGCGGTGAACCGTCAACCTGGTCGTAGTGCCTCCCTCCGTCGCCTGCGCGTAGGCCTCTTGCGCCCGCTGGCGGTCGAGCTCGTCCTCGTAGTCGAGGTGGGCCTCCAGCGCTGCATCCAAGTCCATGTCGGACCCGCCCCCCTCCGCGGCGCGGCTCTGGCGAGGTGGCGTCGTGAGGTCTATCTTCGCGCCGTCGTCGCTCTGGTTCTTCTGGAGAAAATTCCGCTGCAGCGCCTCGTAGATGACCCGCTGTTCGTCGACGTCCACCTGGGCAAGGTCGCCGCCGCAGCCCGTTGCCAAGCGCTTGCGGGGGGGCGACATCAAGTCCACCAGCTCCCCGTCGGCGCTCGCGCTCCTCTGCCAGAAGTCCTGCTGAAGTGCCGCGTATGTCGCCTTCTGCTCGTCGCTGTCGACGTCGTCGAGCAGGCCCGCGCACCCCCTGCCAGCGACGGCAACTGCAGCTGGGAGCGCGCCTGAGGAAGATGCAACGGCGCTCATCAAGTGAGCGCCCCACTCATCGCAACCCCTGGCTCTCGGGGGCGGCTCAGGCGCTGCGGGGAACACTGGCGCGACGCTGACAGTCGGCACGAGCGGCGCATCTTGGGGCGAAAAAGCGCAACAACACCATCCCACCTACGGCGCAAGGAGCCGCAGCAGAGACCTGGAAACCTGGCTCGGCTTTTCCCCTGGTGTACGCCAAGGCACCCTATGGAACGAAACCGAGAATAGCGCGCCGTAAGTGGGGTGGTGTCGTTTGTTTTGTCGTCGGGCCTTCGTTCAGCAGGAGACGCTTCAAGTAGTTCATCGACCACTTGACGTCGTCTTCGAAGTACGCAGGGTAGACAGGCTTAGTTGGGTCCTGCTTGTATGCGCCGAAGGCCTCCTTGCAGCGCTCGTTGAAAAGGTCGGGCTTGTTGGGGTTGGTGTAGGTCCACCGAGGCGCTCGGCCCCGTCCGTCGCTGGGGTGGCGGAAGTACACGCGCTTGTCAGTGACCAAAACAAAATGGGTGCGAGCACCGATGGCCAGCAAGTCCTCGTCTTCAACCTGGCAGAACGAGGGCCTGATCAACTTCATGAAGTCGTCAGAGCTCACGTCCTTCGGCGTGCCCTCCGTCCACTTGGACACGAGCTCCGCCTCGAAGTCTTTGTCGCAAGCATTATTGCAGACCTGGCGGGAGGACCCAGTGTCAAATTCCGGCGACCCCCACCTGGCCCAGGGCGTCGCGTCCTCCTCGCTCGGATTCAAAAACGCCTTGAGGACGAACGCCGACTGCTCCGATAACTCGCCATCATCGAAGATTGCTGGCCTGATGCGGATTACAGGCTCGCCTTTGAAAAAGTCGAAGTGTTTGGCGGTCACGGCGGTCGGCAGGAGGTCGCCCTTCTCGACTTCGCCAGACTGTTCCAATGCGTCGATCTCCACGCGGCTCATCATGAAAGCCAAGGTCTTCGACCCCGCGCTCTTCCCGACGCGGGTCTTGCAAAGCCACGCAACGCCGAAACCCCTGAGGGTGGACGCCAAGGTGGGCCTGATGACCTCGTTGAGAAACCAAGGGTCGAAGTCTCGGAGCGTCAAGACCCATGTCGTGAGGCCCTTAGCATTCGCCCTGCCCCTGGCAAAGTTGTTCAAAGCCCTTTCGATTCGGCTTTCCTCCCAGCCGAAGATCGGACTCTCTGGGCGGGCGCTCTCCCGATCTGCGAACTCCATGAATTGGTTGGCATTGTTGCTCCGCGGCCCCTTCTCTCGAATGAACTTGTACCCTGCGGCCTTGAGTCCCCGCTCGGCCGTCTTCCTGGACGGCCCCTTGCCAGGCTTCGCGACAACGGTGTGGTACCGCAGCTGGAAGCCCTCCAACTTTTCGAGCATGTACTGGACTGCCAGGCGGCCAATCCTATACTGGTTGCCATAGCGCCAGATTAAGCAAGCGCCACGACACATCTGCATGCACGTGTCTGTCCTAGTCTTCGCCGACAGGAGGCTCACGTCCTTGAGGATGTCGTGCTTGCCGTCGGGCTTCTTGATGATGAACAGCTTCGTGGAGTACTGACCAGCGGGCTCCCTCTTCAGAGAGAATGGTTCTGGCATGCTCTTGTAGTCGCAGGTTTTGGCGAGGTCGTGAAGCGTATGCCAAGGGATGTCGCCGCCGAAGTCCCCCACGTAGTCCGCGAAGTATTCAATCATCCTCCCGGGCTCCGTCGCGAACTCCGCTGGCAGATCGGCGATGTTGCACTGGCCTGCTGTGTCGATCTTGTCGACCTTGATGAGCGGGTGGTCGCTCGCCTCCATGTTCTCCGCATGCTGCAAGGCCTCCCCAAACGTGAGCCCAGGGGCGTAATCGGGAACGCCAAGCGACTCCCCCAAGCTCGCTGCAAGCACAACCGCAGGGTTGATTGCTGCCATGGCGACGCAGCAGGAAGCTGAGGGGGGCAGACGGACTCTTCGAGCGCAGAGGCTTGAGAGGCAACTGGCTGTGGCTATCGCAAATCTTCATCCTCCCCAGCAGGGGGGCATCCTTTTTTTGAGGATGCCCTTCGGGGCAAACGTAGTAAGCCATTTGCTGGGTCACATCGTCTGGCACGCGACAGAGAGAAGCAAGTCATAGCATTGCCAATCGTAGCATCGCGCAAATAGCGTAGCAGAGCCAAGCGTAGCATAGCATTGCGTTGCGTTGCGCTGCACAACATTTCATAGTACGGCATAGCTTTCTTTTCCTGGGTCCCTCCCCTGCTCCTCCTCCTTCTCCTTTTCCTGCTCCTCTTCCTCCTTTTGTTCCCCCTCCTCCCCCTCCGCCTGCCTCCTCCTCCTCTCCTAGCGTCGGCGCCGATGCAAAGGTGCACCGTCATCGCTGCGGTCCGCGCTCACGTCCGCTAGAGGGGGGCATCCTCTTTTGAGGATGCCGTGAAAAGCAGCCGCCGCCTCCTCTCTCCTGTCCCTCTTCCTACTCCTCTTTCTCCTCGTTCTCCTCCTCCCTCGCTTCCCTTGCCCCCCTGCCCCTGCGCTGCTGCCCCTGCGCGCCAGCCCGCCCCCGGCCCGCGCGAGCGGCTTTCTCTCCCGCGCCCCGCTGCGCGCTGTTGTCTCTGCGCTAGCCCCCGTTCTCGCTGCGCCACCACAGCCAGCGCCAGTGCTTGACCTCCGTGGCCCAGGTCTTCGGCAGCTCCTGGGGCCGCCCCCTACCCTGCCTGCCCGCGCCCCCCCTTCCCCCAGCGCGGCCCTGTAAGCACAGCTTGAGGAAGACGCCCCACCAAGTCTGGAAGGAGCAGAGCCTGCGCTTGGCGTCGTCGCGCTCCTTCTCCGCTCTCCCGCGGGCGCGCCTCTCCTCCTTCAGCTGCTTCTGGGTCTCCTTCAGCTCCTCCTAGGGGCGGTTGGTCTCTCTTTCTGTCGCTTTGCGAAGTGCCCCCCCCCTCTGAAAGTCCTTCGTCTTCTGCAGCTGCTCCCAGAAGTCTTGCCTGTGGTCGCGCACCAAGTCCACCTGGGGCGGCGCAAGCTGCGCGCATGAGGCACAACGCGCACCTGGCACACCGCGCGCAGATGGCGCACGCGCACTGCGCACAAGGCACGCACGTTGCGCACCGCGCGCACCGTCAGGTTTGTCTATCCGCCCACCCTGTGTTCCAGCCGCGCGATCTTCCTCGTGTAAGGCTCGACCACCGCCTCGAGGGCGGCGGCCTTCTTCTCCGCGCGTTTGCGGGCGTTGTAGGCGGCGTTGCGCGCCTTCTTCTTCGCGTGGGCGGCCGTTCCTGGCTTGGGGCCCCCCATGCCAGGGGGGCGGCGGGGCGGGGCGAAGGGCGCGGTGTCGGCGCGAGCGCGCCGCGAGCTGCTTGAGCCTCGGTCGAGGTGCGGTGCGCCTGCTCGCGCTTCCCCCCTCTCTCCCCCCCCTCCTCCTCCTCCTCTTCCTCCTCGTTTTTCTTTCCCCTTCCTCCCCCTCCTCCTCTCCCTCCTCCTCCTGCTCCTGGTCCTCCTCCTCTTCCTCCTTCTCCTCCTCCTCCTCCTGTTCCTCCTCCTCCTGCTCCTCCTCCTCCTCGTCCTCCTCCTCCTCTTCCTCCTCCTCCTCCCCCGCCTTCTCCTCCTCCTCCTCCTCCTTTTCCTTCTGCTCCTCCTCTTCCCAATCGTATTCCATTATCGGGGGCGGAATCCAGCAGAACCCTGGGAACAAACAAAAGAACCAAAAACACCAACAAACACCAATCCTGAGGATACCTTCCCCCCCACCCCCCAGCCCCCGAATCTCTGCTCAAGATTTGTTTTTGTTTCTTCTCCGCAGGGTTCTGGTGGATTCCGCCCCCGCTAATGGAATCCGATTGGGAAGAGGAGGAGGAGGAAGAGGAGGAGGAGGAGCAGGAGGAGGACGAGGAGGAGGAGGACGAGGAGGAGGAGGAGGAGGAGGAGGAGGAGGAAGAGAGGAGAGAGAAATACGCACACGAGAAAGGTGGTGGAACACGGTATGCTGATTTGTCCTAAAAACGCAGGGGGCCCAAATGAGCCTGTAGCCCGTTTGTGAAATGCAGACTTTGCGCCGTGCAGTCGATGATGTCGCGTGCGACTGCAATTTTCAGGGTTCTAGCTGTCGCGCAGCTCTCGCAAATTTGGAGCAAACGCGCACAACGGCCACCACGGCCAGGACCACGGCCAGGACCACCAGGGCCACCACTACGATAGTCATGGCTGACACATCGCCATACAGAGTTGCTCGGCAGAGCAGGCAGAAGAAACTCATCAGGCGTGCTTGTCTGCAGTATCTAGATTTCTGAGCTCGGTCTGCTACCGGCGCTGAGTCGAACAAATATCATTGGCATTGTGTTTTTTCTTGCGAGATGGTGCCATTGTAGACTGAACTCGAGCAAACGATGAGCTACATAACTGTTCGGCAGATCAACAGGACATGAATTGGCAGAAACGCTAGTCTGAAGTGCGCACTCGACTGCTGCCAGAGCTGGGTCAGAAAAAACAATTCGCATTCTTGTTTTTTCTTCAAGAGGGATTAGATACTTACCTTGAGACAACTCGAGCTGTATATAAATTACATAGTGATTGGCAGATTTATTGGCAGGAAATGAGTAGAAACGCGAATCTAGATGTCCGAATTCTCTCCGCTTCCAGAAATGGAAACCAAACTTATTATTCCTATTGTATATTTTTCCTTCAGATCACAATGTCTTTCTTCGTTCTCCCTTCTGATCCTCCTTCGGCGACTCCCTCTCCGCAGCTCGAGTTCAGCTCAGAAAATCGTTTTCATTTCTAAAATATAGCAGAGCACAAATAACTTTTTGGGACGAAGCTCTGGTAACAGACCGAGTTTGGGCATCGATATGGTTTTCTTTCCATTACTGGGCGCCGGCGGTAAACCGTCAACCTTTGTTACCGCCGGGGGACTCGTAGAGCTTCCTGACAGTATATAGTGTGGGAAAAAATCCAGAGAACGACTAGTTTTCAGCCCAAGCGATTTCAGACCTCTCAAGATGACTCTAACAAAAAAACAAATAGTTTCGCAACCCAGTTCGAGTATTAGACCGAGTTCAGACCTCTCAATGCGACAGGCGGACGCCTGATGTCTGCGAATCGACTCATGTAATTACCAGCCCTGCAGCCCCCCCACAGCCCGAGTTAAGTGCAGAAAACCGACAGCATCTCTCAGGATGACTCGAACAATACAATAGTTTCGCGGACCTGTTTCGAGCAGCAGATCAAGTTCTCAGCTCTCGAATCGACCAACGAACGCGCCTGATGTGTGCAAATCGATTTCTATGACCCGCAGCACTGTAGCCCTCCCCCAGCACGAGTTGAGTGCAGAAAATTGAGAGCACTTTTCACGATGATTCGGACAATACGAATAGTTTCGCGAACCTAGCTCGGGCAGCAGGCCGAGTTCAGAGCTCTCGATACAACAGACAAACGCGCCCGATAATTCCTAATCAATTTATGTGACTATAGGCTCTGTAGCTCCCCTACAGCTCGGGTTAAGTACAGAAAACCGAGAGCGTTTGTCAAGATGACTCGAATATTACAGATGGATTTGCGGACCTAGCTCGGCTAGCAGACCGAGTTCAGACCTCTGGAGTCAAGAGGCGAACGCGCCTGATGATTCTGAATGCAATGGATGTGCTTACCAGGGCTGTAGCTGCCCTGCAGCTCGAATTAAGTACCAAATACCCACCACGCGTATCAAGTTGACTCGAATAATACGAATAGGTTTGCGGACCTAGCTCGGCTAGCAGACCGAGTTCAGACCTATATATTCAACAGACGAACGCGCCTGATGATTATGAGTGCGATAGGCGTGCTGACAAGCACTGTAGCTGCCCTAAAGCTCGAGTTAAGTAGCAAATACCGAAAACGCGTATCAAGTTCACTCGAATAATACGAATAGGTTTGCGGACCTAGCTCGGCTAGCAGACCGACTTCAGATCTATGGAGACAACAGGCGAACGCGCCTGATGATTATGAGTGCGATAGGTGTGCTTACCAGCACTGTAGCTGCCCTACAGCTCGAGTTAAGTACAAAATACTGACAACGCGTATCAACATCGCCAGTGTGCTGTTTGGCAGTAAGAGGTACCCGATCGAGCTGAGATCAAGATGGCGAGCGGGAATAAGATCGAATAGCACGTAAAAAAATACTAGAGAATAGTCGAATTTCGAGAACAAATTTTTCAACCGACCAAAAGTTGTGAAAAGTTCATTTTTCGAGCCAACTAGCTCTCCAGCGCGCCGGAATTACTCTTAAGCTGCCAGCAACTAGCTTGGGGAAGCTCTACGAATCATTTTGTGACGGCTGTTGAAACCGTGGCGGCCGTGGCTGTGGTTGCCGTGACCGTCGCGCCCGTGGCTGTGTGCCCGCGGCCGCTGGCCGTGGTGGCTATGGCGGTAGCCATGGCCGTGATGGCCGGGCCGTGGCCGTGGTGGCGCCGTGGCCGTGGTAATGGTCGCCGTGGCCATGGTGGCCTGCTTTGATGGCTGTGGCCGTGCTCGCTGTGCCGGGGTGGCCTTCGCCGCTGGCCGTGGTGATAGCCTTGGCCGTAGCGGCAGTGGCCGTCATAGCTGTGGCTGGTTGCTCTAGCCATGGTGGCCCTGGCCGTGGCTGTCGTGGCCGTGACCGTGGTGGCCGAGGCCGTGATGCCGTGGCCGTGGTGGTCGTGGCCGTGGTGGCCGTGACGGTGGTGGCCGTGGCCGCCGAGGCCATCGCCTCTGCCGTGGCCGTGGTGGCCATGGCCGTGGCCGTGGCCGTGGCCGTGGCCGTAGCCGTGGTCGTGGTCGTGGCCGTAGTCGTGGCCGCGACCCGTGGCCGTGACCGTGGCCGTGGCCGTGGCCGTGGCGTGGCCGTGGCCGTGGCCGTGGCCGTGGCTGTGGCCGTGGCCGTGGCCGTGGCCGTGGTCGTGGCCGTGGCCGTAGTCGTGGCCTCGGCG